CAGGCGGACTCTCAACCACTGCGCCACCAGGGAAGCCCATAAACACTGTATTTTGAGACTTTAGCACACATAAAAAAACATATAAAGATATTTTTATCCTGATTACAGGTTGGAGTCATATTTTCTATATAATGGGTACAATGAAATTCAAATTTCATATGTTTCTTTTTACTTTTTAAAATATGTCTAGTAGCAAATTTAAAATTACATATTTAGCTCACCTCATATTTCTGTTGGACAGCAATGTTCTATACTAATATTTCCTAGCCTTAAGACTCCTTTCACAATAAAATATGAATCCTTTTCCTTGACATTTTTAAATGATTTTATTATTTTGGATGGTATTTATTGAGGAAATATTTATTAAGGTCCTACTATGTGCTCAACAGTATTTTAGGATACAGCAGTGAATGAAAACATTCAGATCCTGCCTTCATGCAGCTTTCATTCTAATGGGAAAAAAGTATGATAAATAATTTTTAGTAGAAAAAAATTTAATGAACTGTTATTTGTTCTAAGCATACTCTTGGCTATTATATATAATTTCGCATAATATAATTTTAATACAGTACTTAATTTATTGAAGGACATATGCTATTTCATTTGGCATTTATCTTGCTTTGTGTTCTCTGCATTTCCTGGATCTGTGGCTTGATGTCTGACATTAATTTGGAGGAATTCTCAATCATTATTTCTTCAAATATTTCTTCTCTCTTCACCTTCAGTATTTGCATTACATGTATGTTAACACCTTTTGTAGTTGACCCACAATTCTTGGATATTCTGTTCCTTTTTTGGTTTTTTTTTCAGTCTTTTTCCTCTTCGCTTTTCATTTTGGAAGTTTCTATTGACATATCCTCAAGCTCAGAGATTCTTTTCTCAGCCATGTCCAGTCTACTAATGAGCCTATCAAAGGCATTCTCATTTCAGTTATGGTGTTATTGGTCTCCAGCATTTCTTCTTGATCCTTTCTTAGAATTCCCATCTATTTCCATATCTTTGCTTACATTATGCATCTGTTATTGCATGCTGTCTACTTTTTCCATTAGAGCCCTTAGAAAATCATAATTTGTTTAAGTTCTTTTAAAGTCACAGTCTGATAATTCCAACATTCCTCACATATCTGAATCTGGTTCTGATGCTTGCTCTGTCTATTCAAACTGTTTTTTGTCTTTTAGTATGCCTTGTAATTTCCTTTTGAAAGAGGGGACATGATATACCTAGTAAAAGGAACTTTAGTAAATAGATCTTTAGTAAGATGTGAGGTATAGAGGAAGCATTCTATAGTCTAGTGATTAAGTCTGTCTTTTAGGGAGGCTGTGCCCCAACTTCACAAATGCTTCACAGATTTTTCCACCTCTTAGGTGGGATAGGATGGCTACATGGGGCTGGGGTTAGGTATTTCCCTTCCACCACATGGAAGGCTAGTAAAAGCAGGAGTGGGGTATTTCTTTACTTTTAGGAAAAAGCAAGACTCTTCAACAGATTTCTTAGAAAGTAATATATCATCTGTCACTTCTTTATCTTCGTTTTATTTGACCTCACTATGGCAGTTGATAGAGCTGCCCATGTCTTTTTAACATACTTTTGAACACTTTGGAATCTCAATTACCTACACTCTGGAATTTCCTTTTCTCTCACTAACTGGACTTTCTTTTTTCTTTCTTTCTTTTCCTTTTTTTTGGGGGGGGGGTTGGGTTTTTTTTTTAACGTTTTAATGAATGGGAGTGTGCATTTAAAAAAAATATTTATTTTTTGGCCACACCGTGCAGCATGCAGGATCTTAGTTCCCTGACCAGGGATCAAACCTGTGCCCCCTGCATTGGGAGCTCAGAGTCTTAACCACTGGACTGCCAGGGAGGTCCCACTAACTGGACTTTCTAAGTCTCCTCTTAGGGCTCTTCCTCCTTTGTAACACCTCTTCCTTTGTTCAGATAAATGTGAGTGAACCCCCTGGCTTGATCCTGAGCTCCTTTCTCTCTCTGGCTCATTATGTCTAGACAAGTTTGTAATTTTTGTTCCACAAACACCCCTAATTTATTCCTGCTTTACAGATTTCTATTAATTGTCTTTTTTCCTTGGAAAGCTCTTACCCCAAACCTTGGTTAGCTTGTTATTGTCATTTCAAGTCTCAGAGCAGATGTCACCAACACAGAAGTCTTCCTTCATCTACAAATCTAAATTAGCTCCTACTGCAGTGTAGTTATGCTCTATTACTTTACTTTGTTTATTTTTACAAAAACACTGTGAGAACCCTATTTACTTCTGATCTTTTTGTTTTCTTGTTTGTGTATTCTCTACCATTTGCTAGCTAGAATGTAGGCTCTGTGAGAATAGAAACCTTATTTGTCATGCTGTCTACAATCTTTCTGGTACCTAGGTTAGTGTCTCTTACATACTTCTCAATAAATATGTGTTAACTGAACTGTTGAATGTTTGATCTTAGATCAAATATATATTAAATGGAGGTTAAAATCCAGCTTCTACCAAAAATAGACAAAACTACATTTATGACTTAATGTTGGCCATTTCCTCATTTTCTGCTTTTAAAAAGTCAACTGGTTAATTTCCATATTTTTTGGAAAATTTTTATTTGTTTTGTTTTTAAAAGATGAAATAGGTTTACAGCTGTCATTCACAAGTACTTCTCTATAAATAACTCATTGTGGTATGGATGGATTTATACCCAAATGAAAACCAGATGGTCTTACTTGTGGTTAGTTATTCTCACTGTCTTAAATTGGCTTCTGAAATGCTGGAGATACCTTTTAGATGCTATAAAATAATTTTGATCATTAGTTATGGAACTAATGGAGATATCTTCAGGTGAATTTGCAGAATTATTATTTTATGCTCTCAAATCAGTATTCCTTATGCATTCTGCCTCTAACCAGTTGTCTATTATGTGTAAAAATGAAATAATATACCATTGAAAATAATTACAGTTTAAAACTGTATAATGATCAAAACAATTATTCAGAGTTAACCTGAATGGTAAATTCAGTGACTTTCAGGAGTTTGCACATCTGATTTCCACTAATTCCAAGACATATTATCTTCTGTATGTTTATGTCAAAGGCTCCTCAGTTGTTATGTTTTAAATAGTTGTTAAATGTTTATTGTTTATTTTAATTTTGAGGACGTGCAAGTTAATCAATTTTTTTCTCTTATGAATAATGTTTTTTGTGTCATAGCTAAAAAAAAATCTTTGCCCAACCCAGTTTCACAAAGATCTCCTATTTTTTTTCTAGACATTTTATGGTTTTAAGTTTTACATTTAGGTCTATGATCCATTCTGATGCATGTGACTATTTTTGTATAAGGTATGAGGTGTGGGTTAAGGCTCAGGATTTTGCATATGGATGCCTTATTGTTCCAGAATCATTTGTTTTTTAAAAAACTAAGTCTTTCTGCATTGAATTGCCATTACATCTTTGCCAAAAATCAATTGACCATAGATGTGTGGGTCTATTTCAGAGCTCTCTGTTTATCTGTCTAATTATCTGTCCATTCTTTTGCCAATCTATGTTTATTTTGACTACTGTAAATAGGTAGTATGAGTCCTTCAGCTTTGTTCTTTTTCTTGTTTGGGCTATTGTAGTTGCTTTCCCTATCCATACAAATTTATGAATCAGCTTGTTGATATTAGCAAAAATTCTGCCAAGATTTTGATTGGGATTGTGTTGAATCTATAGATCAGTTTAAGGAGAATTAACATTGTAACAATATTGAATAATTAATCCATGAACACAATGTGTCAGTCCATTTATTTAGATCTTACTTGATTGTTTTTCATTGGTGGTTTTTTTCAGTGTGTAGATCCTGCATATTTTTTGTTTGATTTATGCCTAAGTATTTCATATTTTTAAGCTATTGGAATTAATACTATTTTAAAAATTTCTATTTCTGTTTTTTTCATTTCCAGTATCTAGAAAGATAAATGATTTTTGTATCTTGACCTTATGTCTGCTACCCTAGTAAACTCATTAGATCTAGGAGCTTTTTTTATAGATCCCTTGGGATTTTCTATGTAGAAAATCATGTCATCAATGAATAGACACAGTTTTACTTTTTATTTTCCAGATTTCTATGCATTTTGTTTCTTTTTTCTTCTTCTGTTTCACTGGCTAGGACCTCTAATGTGATGATGAATAGGAGTGATAAGAACAGACACCTTGCCTCATTCCCAGTCTTATAGTAAAAGCATTCAGTCTTTCATCATTAACCATGAAGCGGTCTCTAGGCTTCTGTGTAGATACTCTTTTTCAGGTTAAGCAGTTTCCCTCCTTTTCCTAATTTACTGAGTTCTTTTTTTTTCTAATTATGAACAGATACTGGATTTTGTCAGATGCTTTTTATTTGTTTTTTTCTTTAGTCTTTTGATATGGTGAATTTCAATAATTAATTTTTTTAAAATGTTGAACCAGTCTTACATTCATGGAATAAGGCATACTTGGTTGTGACTTATTATTCTTTTTATATATTGCTGTGTTTGTAACAGTTATTTTAAAAATAATAACTGAAATAGGTGTTGCTACTTAAATTCTGGAATACCTTTAAAAATCATAACTCTCTTCTCTGTTTATTAATTCAGCCAACAAATATCTGACAATTATTGTGTGCTAGACATTGTTTTAAGTGCTGCAGATTAGAATATTGAACAAAATTGAGTTCTGCCCTTAGACTATATTACTTTCTAGAATGTAATATAAAGTCAGGTTCTGACATTAGCACCCCGAGGAACAATAAAACAGTGTAGGGGAATGGAGAATCATGAAGTGAGGGGCTAAAGCTATTTTAAATAATTAGTCAAGGCAGGACTCTCTGAGGAAGTGACTGTAGAGCAGAAACATGAATGAAGTGAGGGAGCTAGCTATCTTATTTGTGGAAAATTGTTCCAGCAAATATGAAGTCCTGAAGCAAAGACTTGTTTGGTGTGTTTCAAGAATAACATAGAGGCTAGTGTTTATGGAGTGCAGTAACCCATAGAGATAGTTACAGGAGGCTAAGTAGTCAGGGACTTGATAGTGTAGAACTTTGTAGGCCATGGTAAGAAAAACTTTGGATTTTAAGTATAATGGCAACCACTTATTTTTCAACAAATATTAATTCAGTATCTGCTATATGTTAGATACTTTTGCATCTTGACAACATACTAGTTAACAAAATAATGAAAAATCCAAGCAGTTGTAGATCTTAGAAATGTTAGTAATAAGTGTAGTTGTTTACGTTAATATGGAGGTAGTCAGAAGTGGTAGAGTTTAGAATGATCAGTTAGTAAGCCTTGTTTATACACAGTGATTACATATTTAGGTGTTTTAAAAAATTGGAGTAAATGGACTTGAGTTTTATGCTAAAACTATATGAACATAATTTAACCTTTTTTAATAATAGGAGACAGTTATTTTCCTGAGTTTCTTTTGGTTGCAAAGTAGAGAGACTTTCAGGCTACGGTTTTTTAATAAGGATAGAGTCGGGAGTAGAATACAGAAGAACTTCATGGAAATCCTAGAATAGGAACTGTGATATGGCTGGGCCTTCCAGAGTCCAGAACCCCCAAATCTTTATATCCAAGTGTGTTAATTATCTATTGCTATGTAATACATTACTCCAAAATTTAAAACATTTATTTCACAGCTTCTGGGGGTCAGGAATTTAGGCATGGCTTAGCTGGGTGCCTCTGGCTTAAGGTTTCTCACAAGGCTGCAGTCAAAGTGTTGGTTGGAGCTGCAGGCATCTGAAGGCTTGACTGAGGAAGGATCTGCTTCTCAGATCATTCACATGGCTGGTTGGCAGGCTTTAGGTCATTGCTGTCTGTTGGCTGAAGACAATAGTTCTTTGCCGTGAGGGTCTTCCCAGCTCACAACATGGCAGCTGGTGCTCCCGAATGAGAGGGGTGACAAGATGGAAGCCACAGTATCTTTGTAACCTAATGTTGAAAGTGGCATCCCATTATCTCTGCTGTATTCTGTTTGCTAGAAGCAAATCACTAAATCTAGTCCACACTGTAGAGGAGAGGATTACACAAAGGCATGAATACCAGGAGATGGGTATTATTAAGATCACTTTAGAAGCTGCCTATCATACCAAGTAAGCCCTAGAGATCTTACCAGAGTTTTTGTGTGTATGTTTTATTCTGGTTCTCTACCATAAAGGTTCCTTAGCCACTCTCAATGTCTACATTTCTTTCCCTTCTTTTTTTTCTACCAACTCCATTTCTTATCTCTTAATCTATGTATCTTTTTTCTGCTTCTTATTTTTAGTTTCTCCTTATCTTTAGTTTATCCAGGGCCTAAGATGAATTCCATTGCTTCTTCTTGTTTCAACTTCTGCCCCTGCTGCTAGCCACTTTGATTATGTCCTTAGCACCCTGTTCAAATTTTTGAAAGAGAGAAGGTGGGTAAGGAGGGGATAGAGTATAGTATCTTTTGAATATGATTACCTCAGAGAGAACTGTGATTAGGGCAGTTTCCCTCAGAGAGCAATGTAGTTATTTAAATACTATTGTAGATGTTTATAAATTAGAAGTTATAGGTCATTGAGTGATCAAGTGACAGACTGAGTCTTGAAAAAAAATTTCCCAATGCTAGCTTGTTTTATTTTTCTATTTCTCATAAAAGTAGAGTGCAAAATATACTTTTAAAAAGAAAACCCAATATTATGGTTATTTTTGTTTTCCTATTTTGGATTTAGAATAAATGAAAATCTGTTATATATAAGATTTATTATTTTTGAGGCACTATATAAAAGTGTATAAATTTTGAGACAGAAAATTATACAGAAATCTACATTTTTTTGGAGACATTATACAGTAAAATATAAAAAAGGCAAACATTTATTTTTATCACACAGAATTAACAACGATTAACATTTGCTCATATTTCATTTACTCTTTTTCCCCCAAGTAATAAAATATTGTAGCTAAAATTCAGCTCCTCTTAAAACACCACTCTTAGTTCTGTTTCATGGAACTTACCTGATGCAACTACTGTTACAACTTTGGTGGGTATTTTTCTGGTTCGTCTTTTATTCTTGTAAACACATAAACACACATGTATATGTACATAAGTATGGTATGGTTTTGTGTTTGTGTTTTATTTATATGGTACCATGCTATATATAATCTGCACCATTTCTTTTTGTTTTAAACTTTATTCTGTTTTTGAGGTTTGTCCATATTGATACATATAGATCTAGGTCATTTTTTTTTAACTGCTATTCTAGTATTCCATCATGTTTTAATATCCATTCTCTCACTGTTAGATGTCTAGGTTGCTTTGAAAGAGTGTTTTGCTCATACAAACACTGATCTCTTGTGCACCTGTGACAAACACATTTTCCACATTATTGTCAAATTATAGAATCAATTTATAGTTCAAACAGATGTGAGAAATCTTATTTAACCATGTTCCCATGGTAAGTGATATTTTCAGACTTACCCTCTTTTCAGTTTGGTGATTAGAAAACTGGTCTCTTGCATTATTAATCTGCATTTCATTTATTACTGGTAAAGTTGAGTATATGTTTAATGACCATTTGGATGTCATCATCTCTGAAGTGTCCGACTGTTGTAACCTTTGCCCGTTTCTAGGAGTTCTTAATATATTCTGGATACTAATCCTTTGCCTATTGATATATGTTGCAGTTATCTTCTCCTAGTCTATCACTTGCTTTTAACCCTGTGTGTAGATTTTTATTTTAATTGCATAGAAGTTTTTGTGCCTTTTCTTCCTTTTGATCATTCTTATTAGTCCTTGCAAAGAATCAGCTTTTGGTTCTGTGTTTTTAAACAAGAATGAAAGGTGTAGAGTTACAGCTACCTCCTGGGGACATACAGTATGGGAGTGTGGCCATTCAAATGGCTATTAACTGTCATGTGCATTGAAACAAAAATTATGGAGTGTCATAGTTCCAAAGTGTCTTCAAAAACTTTTAATTGTTAATGAAGAAAATTTTTTTCACTAACTCTTCAATCTTCATAATTTTTTCATCATAATTTTTAATAGTACTAGATTAACTTTTTTATGAGTCAGAATATATGGTTTTATACTTTTTCTTTTGATAAAATAAAATTTGTTTAACTTTGGGATTAATCTTTAGTGTCATCTGTTACATTCCCTCCTATTTTTCAGGCAGGAGTAAGAGCTTCTATAATGATAATTGATGACTATCCATTTGTGAAAAGGAAAATAATGATTGCAGATGATTTTTCAGAAAAAAAATTTTTGCACATTGCAGGTTAGGCTAGTTTTTACTACCACTTATTTTTAGCACCTGTGAAATTATATACTTTTTTTTTTTTTGCTGTGCTGTGAGGCTTGTGGGATCTTAGTTCCCCGACCAGGGATTGAACCCTTACCCTGACAATTAAAGTGCAGAGTCCTAACCATTGGACCACCAGGGAATTCCCAATTATATACTTTTTTTGTAGTTCAGTTCACTTATATCTTATTACCTTATTTCCTACATTTTAGTTATTATTAATACTGTTCAGATTGTGAAGTTTAAATTGAGAAATGAAGGTTTTGAGCAATTTATTATATTTTATAAAAATAATACTTTTGGCTGAAAGTGTGGGATTGAGTCACATTTTCAAGTATGAATCCCAGGTTGGATTTTTTTCTTTTAACTCTCACCAAACATTGTCCAAAAAATGGAATCCTGAGATGTAATTGCATTCACAAATATTTGTCTAACTCTTAAATACTAGGCACTGTGCAACTTTCATTTGAGTTTTGGGTATTAGGCCCACAGTCAGAATGGAGAATAGTCCTTATTGAATTCCTTATGAGCTAGCAAAGAGCAGAGATAATGTTAGGAGTTGGGAAATAGAGGAGGAATTTAGTTCCATTCACTTTTTAATCAGAGACATTGAAAGTGTTGCCCTTGGGGAAAGTATAAAACTTTTTTCTTGATATTTGATCATTTATTTTTACATTATTTTAGGTTTGCAGTAATTATCTGCAGGATTCGCCATGACCCCAGCTCTGAGGGAGGCAGCAACAAAGGGTATCTGCTTTTCATCTTTACCAAGTACCATGGAGTCGGACAAGATGCTATGCATGGAAGGTCCAAGAACGGTAGATGAAAAGCTGAAAGGAGACACTTTCTCTCAGATGCTGGGATTTCCAACTCCTGAACCTACTCTTAGCACTAATTTTGTGAATTTAAAACATTTTGGCTCCTCTCAGTCTTCAAAACATTACCAGACTGTTCTTTTAATGAGTTCTAATGCTACATTAAATAAATACAGTGAGAATTATAAACAAAAGAAATTAGGGGAACCCCACTGCAATAAGCTGAAAAACATACTGTGTAATGGTAGCAACATTCAGCTCAGTAAAATCTGTCATTCTCATTCTGAAGAGTTCATCAAAAAGGAACCTCTGTCAGATACCACAAGTCAGTGCATGACAGATGTACAAATTATTTTGGATTCAGATATAACCAAAGACACTAATGTAGATAAAGGACAACTGAAAAACTGTAAGTGGTACCAAAAGAATGCACTTTTGGATAAAGATAGTGACGCTGAGATTAAAAAGGGTTTATTGCACTGTGCTCAAAACAAAATTGGGCCTGACCACTCAAACGTGCCTATTAGTTCCTCAACTGCAGAAAAAGAGGAGGAAGTGAATGCTCGTTTACTTCATTGTGTAAGCAAACAGAAAATTTTACTTAGCCAAGCTAGAAGAACTCAGAAACATTTGCAGATGCTCCTGGCAAAGAATGTTGTTAAGCACTATGGTCAGCAAATGAAATTTTCTATGGAACATCAACTCCCCAAAATGAAGATTTTTCATGAACCTACCACAATTTTGGATAACAGTTTACCTAAATGCACTGAAATTAAACCAGACATCAACTTATTGACAGCAGAGAATAAATTGTGGAATGATACAAAAAATGGCTTTGCACGGTGTACAGCTGCAGAAATCCAAAGATTTGCACTGTCTGCTACAGGGCTGTTGTCTCATGTTGAAGAGGGTCTGGATTCCGATGCAACTGATAGCAGCTCTGATGACGATTTGGATGAATATACCATTAGAAAAAATGTGTCAGTGTAAGTGCAAAATTATTATTAGACCTTTTACTGTTCTGTATATAGCAGCAATTTTGTCTTGATTTCAAGATATGTTGAAAAGAAATAGATTTTCTAAAATCTTAATGCCATAATCTTTAAGTTATAAAACTTTGGTGAATTTTTAAAATATTTCTTTTATTAAAAATGACAGTCTGTGAATATATACATACTATTTAAAAATAAGTTACCCAACTGCTCTATCTAGGAAAAAAACCCAGATAGGAATAATGAAAAATAATTAGCTATAAATATGTATTTTTCCTGTTCTTGAATAGAATAGGCTGTGGACAGGGCTTAAAATTTTGCTTAAGTTATCTAGCCAAAATGTATAGCTAAAAAAATTTCAAGTCTGCGTAGGTAGCCCTCACTGGCTTCAGGAGTTTATCAGTTGGCAGTACATATAAATTGACCTGCTACTTAGAAAAATTTTTTTAAACTATTTATATGCTCGTATTCACAGCTTTCAGCTCTGGTCTTTACCAATTTAGTCAATTTTTGCTAGATTAATATAACCAAAACAAAATTATAATGTCAGCTCTTAGATACCTATTGAATGCTTATTATGTGCTGGACCCTAGAGATTCAGTGATAGGCAAAATATTCAGCCTCTACCCTATTGGGAATCTGCTTCAAAGAGAGATACCTAGATATTTTATAAAACAAAACAAAACAGAAGCACAGAGAAAAATAGTTTTACTTATCATACCATTTTAATACTCCAGAACAGTTCTGATAGAAGTTTCTGGGATGATGGAAATGTTCTATTTCTGTGTTATCCAGTAGGCACTAGTCTCATGTGGCTATTGAGCACTTGAAATGTGGCCAGTACAACTGAAGAACTGAATTTTTTAAAATTTATTTATTTATTTATTATTTATTTATTTATTTATGGCTGCGTTGAGTCTTCGTTGCTGCGCGCAGTCTTTCTCTAGTTGCAGCGAGCGGGGGCTACTCTTTCGTTGCGGTGCACGGGCTTCTCATTGTGGTGGCTTCTCTTGTTGCAGAGCACAGGCTCTAGGCACGTGGGCTTCAGTAGTTGTGGCTCGCGGGCTCTAGAGCGCAGGCTCAGTAGCTGTGATGCATGGGCTCAGTTGCTCTGCGGCATGTGGGATCCTCCCGGACCAGGGCCTGAACTCATGTCCCCTACATTGGCAGGCGGATTCTTAACCACTGTACCACCAGGGAAGCCCAGAGCTGAATTTTAATTTTATTTAATTTGAATTAATTTTATTTTAAACAGCCAGCTAGAATATAGTTTCTAATCTAGCTTTCAGAGAATCTGTTAATGTCCCTAAATTGATGCAAAATACTGTGTATATATGTGGCATTTGGGGAGGAAGAAGTTCATCATTTTTATCAAATTCTCAAAGATAAGTGAGAATCATTATAGAATTAGAAGCGGAATACATTAATTTTTACTAATAAATAGAAGGTCAGTATATTAATTTTTATAGTAAGGAGTAAAATATAAAACAAAGTGAGCATTCCAGGCTTTTTGGTGTTCTGTTATCACTATATTTGAAATGGATTTGAATGAGAGCTAATAGTTATTGAGGACATATTTTTCTAACTGGCTTTGTGCTATTTACTTTACATTTGATATATTATTTAATCCTTTCAACAACCATGGGAGGTAATTGTTGTTATCTTTATTTCGCTTAATAAGAAAAAGGCTCAGCATGGCTAAGTGACTTGCCTATGGTCAAAAAGCCAGATAAGTGGTGGAGCTAGGCTTCTTGCCCATATATGTGAAACTTGAAACCTATGCACTTTCTGTTGGACCATCCAACTTTGTCAACATTATATCAATGATGCTTACACATTATTAAGCAAATGTGTTCTATAAGAAGTCCAGAAATTTATCAGGTTTTCTATTTATAATGCTTTTGAAGTAATTCAATTTAATAACATTTAGTAGATAAATGCTGTAAATTATTTACATTTTGTTGTTGAGAAGAGCTAATGGGCAGGGTTTCCTTTTTTTTTTTTTTTTTGGTACACGGGCCTCTCACTGCTGTGGTTGCTTCCGTGTCTTGGCTCTTGTAAATAATGCTGCAATGAACATGGGGGTGCACATATCTTTTCGAGTTAGTGTTTTCATTTTCTTTGGATAAATACCAGGGAATGGATTGCTAGATCATAAGGTAGTTCTATCGTTAAATTTTTTGAGGAACCTCCATACTGTTTTCCATAGTGGCTGCACAAATTTACATTCCTAACAGCAGACCACAGGGGTCCTTTTTCTCTGCATCCTCATCAACACTTGTCATTTCTTGTCTTTTTGATAATAACTATTCTAATGGTGTGAGGTGATAGCTCATTGTGGTTTTGATTTGCAGTTCTCTGATGATTAGTGATGCTGAGCACTTTTTCACGTGCCTATTGGCTATCTGTATGTCTTTTTTGGAAAAATGTCTATTCAGGTCCTCTGCTCAGTTTTTTTTTTTTTTTTGTGGTACGCGGGTCTCTCACTGTTGTGGCCTCTCCCGTTGCGGAGCACAGGCTCCGGACGCGCAGGCTCAGCGGCCATGGCTCACGGGCCCAGCTGCTCTGCGGCATGTGGGATCTTCTCGGACCGGGCCAACACCCGTGTCCCCTGCATCGGCAGGTGGACTCTCAACCACTGCGCCACCAGGGAAGCCCCAATCTGCTCAGTTTTTAATCAGGTTGTTTGTTTTTGATGTTGAGTTGTATGAGTTCTTTGTATATTTTGGATATTAACCCTTTATCAGATATATCATTTGCAAATATATTTTCCCATTTAGCATTCAGCCTTTTGATTTTTTGATAGCTTCCTTTGCTATGCAACTTAATTTTAAGCAACTTAAAGGCAAGTACTACTTTTTCTGTCATTGTATACCCAGTTCCTAGCACTGTCTGCTTTTTAGTGGTTATTTGGTGTTGGTTGAGTGAATGAATGAATTTTTCTGTATTTGTATATGTAGCTGTAAAGGTACAAAAATCGAGGTTGGCAGTCTGTAAAATTTTCTCTTTCTTTATGTTTTATTTTTTCTTCTTCCATTCTGCAGTATATCTTTACTTGATTTTTCCCTCCTTTCTTCCTTGGTCTCTAGTAACAAACTGGTCACTAAATGTATCTTATACATCTTAGAACCCGCATGAGTGTGTGTTGAATGAATGAATGAATAAAATATACCAAAATATGGACATTTGAAAGTCATTATTTTATTCTAATATTTAAAATTTTAATTTTGATAAGTAAAATTGATATATGTATTATGTTTATCTTAAAAATCTTAGATTATATGATAACTAATGTCTTTTTTTTTTTTTTTTTTTAGTTTATAGCCCATATAAGAAAAACAAATTCCTTCACTCCATCACTCTCATCAGGAAATTTACCTGTGAAGGAATATGATAGTTTTAAGAAATTGGAAAGTACTCACATTAGCCATTACCAGTTATTTAAAATATATATTTATATGTAGACAGTAGATTAATTTATAATGACATTACTGATACACTTTAAAGATAACTTTTGGCTGAAAGACTAATGTGCATTAGGCACTTTTTTAAAAAGTCAATTTACTTTGCAAAGCAAAACAGGAGGACTTTATATTTTTTGTAGGTTTGAGATATAATCCTTATAATATGAATGGAATCTCCCCGCTCTGTGTTCTGTCCCTTTGGTGAAGGAACACAAGTTATAGACATACTTGTGTTACAGTCGTGGCTTGCTCTGTGACTCTGAGCAATGGTTAGGTTATTCTTAACCCACTGAATCAGATTCCTCTTTTTTGGTCTACCTTAAAGAGTTCTGGAGATGATTAGATGAAATAATAAATATAAAGTACCTATGCCTAATAAGGCACTGATTTGATAGCCAATAAAGAGTGCCTTATTAAGCAGTTTATGGTTGTGGAAGACTGGAGCTTAATATCCCATGGAAGACTTGAGGAGCCAGTGTAAAATACATGCCTGAGTTAACCATTTGAGAGGTGAAGAAGCTGGAGTATTTGCACATCAAATCCCGTCAGTTACTGGGTGAAGACTATTCCTGGTTTTACTAATTCCCTGGCAGTTCTGTTCTGCCACTTGAGTGACAAAGACCGCTTAAGCACCAACAACAAAAAGCCCTCAAAGAAATGCAGGTGCTGGCAGTTGGAAGTCAGGTCTGTGTCTGCTGAACTGGTATGTGTGAAGGGATGTGGGTGGGTTCGACACACTGTGTTACAATTATGTTACCTCTCATCTGGTGGTAAGGCCTTAGAGTTCTAGCTTTTATTTATTTATTTCTTCTCCTCCTCTGGGAAATGATGATTAGTTACTTTCTTCCAGGATGCATGTGGGAAAACTCATAGATTTTAACACAGACATGTTCTGATCCTTCAATGTTGTAAGAAAAAGGAAGAAACATGGCTTCTTTTCTTATCTGAGGAAATCTGCCAGTATCTTCCAAATCACTCAACCATCTTGGATGTTTGGAGAAAAATCTCTTCATTTTTCCATATTAGTTTCCATGTATTCAAATTTTCTTTTTAGTTTTTACTTCAGTATGTAAATTGGCTGTCTTGATAAGGAAATTCTTTTAAACAAAATCAGATATATACTAAGAAAGAAGGGAGAGTTGTTTAATTATAAGCTGTGAGGTGACTCTTTCTAGATTGAAAGATGGGAAAGAGCTAAGTAAATAGTTTCTTGCAGAGCTGCAGAAATGAATACTCAGTTTTCTGTATAAACACTTCCTATTTTGCCAGTAGAAAGAAAAAAACCAGGTGATGAATTTCCCTTTGAGAAATTTGATAAATAGGAATATGAGCTCAGTGTGACATTCAGAGAGTAAAGAGATGAATAACATTACATTAATAAATTGCAAATGAGTACTTTTATACTTGTATAATATCAAGTTGACAAATTGTTTTGTATTTATCACCTTTTTTGTGTGTGTGTGGTACGCGGGCCTCTCACTGTTGTGGCCTCTCCTGTTGTGGAGCACAGGCTCTGGACGCGCAGGCTCA